GGTGTGACCCAATTTCTGGACACAATGGCCTTTTCTGGTACCGGCAGACCCCGGGGCAAGGCCCAGCATTCCTGATGTCTTTCCTGAATGAACGTGCAGCAGACAAGTCAGGGATGCCCAGTGAGCGGTTCTCTGCTGAGAGGCCACAGGGATCCTTCTCCACTCTGGAGATCCAGCTCACAGTGCAGGGGGACTCGGCTGTGTACCTCTGTGCCAGCAGCTCAGCCACAGTGTGGCACAGGCTCCTCCTTCCTGCTCACAGACCCCTGTGCTCATCCCTCCTCATGTTCTCAGAAGCCCTGCAGGAGGGAGTGGCCAGTCTCTTCCCCAAGGAAGGGAAGGAAGGCATCTGTACCTTCAGGGGTTCTTCCAACAGGAGGAGGTCAGGAAATGACCTTGAATCACTAAGACAGACAATGTTGGGTAGAGAAAATTTTGGCTTATTGCTTTCTGGTGTTTCTCAGCTTCAGTCAAGATTCAATAATTGGCTTTGAACACCAGAGCTTAGTCTCAGGGACAGTGACAACTAGGTAACTTCAGTACATTATTGATAAATTCCTATGCTGGGTGTCTAACTCAGACCTCTCTAAACCAAGGAGTGAGCCAACAGAACAAAGCCATGTTAAGCCATTGGCAACACCAGCCTTAAAAAGAGAAACTTGAATCCTCAGTAAGGATTGTCATCCTCAATTATCCAGAAGGCACTGTCCCCACAGGCATGCCCACTGACCCATGTCCATACAGTGCCGTTCTATTTCTTTCAGTTTAATTCTCTTCTTCAGTCTAGCTTTCTTTCAAAATAGAACCAAAATTCAGCTTGATTTCATAAAACATAACCCCAATTGAGAAGGTGTCAAATGGAAGTGATTCAAAGACACAGTCAGTAGTAGCATCCACCAAGGGGGACTCCTGGGGGTTTTCAAAGTGGTTATGACAATTTACACTCCCAACAGGGGCACAAGAGTTTCAGTTGTTGCTCTGGGGCTTTCTACCTCCCTTTCTGTAGATTATTTTTCCAGTCTTTTGACTCTGTGTTACTCACCTATTTTTCTTAGTAGTTTAGTTGTAAATATTAACAGGGTGCAGTTAAATAATTTAAATACATCGTGTAGTGATCACAAGAGTTGGCATTTATATCTCATTAAACATTTTATAATTTTTTTAAATTTTTTTAGTTGTCAGTGAACCTTTATTTTATTTATTTATATGCAGTGCTGAGAATTGAACCCAGTGCCTCACACATGCTAGGCAAGTGCTGTATCACTGAGTTACAACTCCAGCCCCACATTTTAAAGTTTTAACTCTGTGTTAGTATGCTAACTGTATATGTTCATGGGATTGTGTTAATTCACTTTTCATTGCTGTGATCAAAATGCATGGCACAAACAACGTAGAGGAGGAGAGCTTATTCTGGACTTGCTGTTTAGAGGTTCAGTCCATGGTCAACTGATTACATTTCTCTGGACCTGAGTGAGTCAGAATATTATGGCAGAAGTGTGTGGTGGAGGAGAACTGCTCAGCTCATGGAAGATGGGAAGCAGAGAGTTATAGAAGAACCAGGGACAGAATATAATCCCCCAAAGCAAACTCCCACTGACTTACTTCCTGCAGGCATGCCCCACCTGCTTGTAGTTACCATCCAGTAATCCATTCAAATTATTAATCCTTCAAATAGAGCAATCCAGTGACACAGTCTAATCATTTCACCTCTGAACATTCCTTCATTGCCTAACACAAGGGTATTTTGAAGGTATCTCACGTCCAAAAGATAACTGGGCTGGTGTATATGTATATTTATGGTGTGATATTTTGATAAGTATAAGGTCTTAAGCCATATCTTTCCATATTTACCTGTTTCTTATAATCATTTTGTATTTTGGTCATCACTTTGTATTAAGATTAGGAAATTGTTGCCTACTTTCAAATGATCATGTTTTCTTATTTTTCATCCTAAAGTCTTTAAATTTTCAGTCCTTTAATTGAAATCTGTAATCTAGCTGCAATTAATTCTTCATATGTGAAGAAGGGATCAGGTTATATTTTTCCACATAGTTATCCAGTGGTTAGTCCCTGGTTCAGCAATGTGGCTTATTAAAGGATTCCTCGCTGCCCTGTAATAACACTTTTGTCACAAATCAGTCATTATGCATGTGTTGGTCTGCTTTCTGGGTGTCTGTTATATTTGTCTACCTATTCAGTTCTTGCACAATGTTGCATTTATCTGTTCATTTATTCTCAGTGGTTCTAGATGACTGTTTTAAATTTTTCATATATAGTCTAGAATTGGCTTACTAAAGTCTTCAAGAAAAACATGCTCATTGAGAATTTTCTTTTTCTTTTAAAAATGTTTTCCTAAGTGACTAAAGATCATCATAGAACAAAGCTAAGATATTAACAACAATACTGAGATACCTATCACCCAAATGTATAAAATATACAACATTTGGCATCTAATCAAAGATTCTGGAGCCGAGTGTGGTTACAAGTCTGTAATCCCAATGGCTCAGGAAGCTGAGGCAGGAGGATCGTGAGTTCAAATCCAGCTTCAGCAACATGAAGAGTCCTTAAAAAACTTAGCGAGACCCTGTCTCTAAGTAAAATATTTTAAAAGCTAGGATTTGGTTAAGTGCCCCTGGATCCAATCCCAAATATGGAAAAAAGAGATTCCAGTCACACAAAGAAGGAGCAAATATGATCTTTAATGGGGAGAAAAATCAATCAATAGAAACCAACTCAACAGTGACAAACTGAAAGAATAAATAAAGAAAACAGTATTATCACTGTAGCCCATAGGTTCAAGGCTTTGTAGTAATGGAGACAAAAAAAGATCCAAATCAAGCAGTAAAAATAAATGTCAGTGATGAAAAATACCTTGGAGGAATGAACAGCAGATTAGACATCACAGAAGGAAAGAGAATGCATTAGGAGATACAACAATAAGAAATTCAAAATGAAAGACAAAAGAAAATAAGGATATAAGTGAGGTAAGAATAACTTGAAGTGCATAGTATGCAATAGGAGATCCCAAATGTCCATAGTTTAATTTGAAATGTTTGAATGGATGATTTCCTATCTACCAAAACAATTCTAACACAGCACAAGTCTTGCAATATATGCAATATATGTTGAAATTTAAATCAATGATATAAAGAAAGGAAGAGGGCTAATGACTATATGCCATTCCATTGTAAGGTTTTCCTAACCTATGTGCAGTCACTGGAGGATAGACTGTTGAGACAGAGATGTACACTGCAAACTCAGGAATGACCACTAACATGGTCATTAATGGCCCAGAGTTAGAGTTAATGAGCCAGAAAACAAGAAGTAAATTATGTAAATGCTCAATTAATCCAAAAGTTAATATAAAATCAAAAGAACAAAGGAGAGATGGGAAACAAATACAAGATGGCAAACAGGAATTTAACCAAATCAACAATCCCATCAAATCTAAATAGTCTCAATGCCCCAAATAAAAAGCATCAACTGTAACTTTGAACAAAACAAAACAAAACAAAAAAAAACAGTCAAACTATGTCTCCTACCAGGAAGGTAAAGCATTCTCTGACTCCAGTGGGACTATATTAGAACTCAATTACACAAATAACTGTGTCTGGAAAAACCCAAATATTTCACAATTAAACAACATTTTAAAAAATGTTCCTAGGGCAAAAATGAATCAAAAGAAGAAAGTGTGTTACACTGGATAAAAATGAAAATGTCTTGAAGATGATAGGGTGCCACAAAAGCAGAAATAAGGGAAACTGAGGAACAGGTAATAATTTCCCATCCCTCTGAGATGAGCATTCCTCTGACATCAAAGTCAGAAACACTAAACAAATAAACAAAAAATGTGAAATAATACAGTTTCAATTATTCATTCAAAGTGACAGTGTATTGAGTACAACAATATCTAAAAAGGATAAAATGTCATAGCCAGTGGCATGACTTTAATAATGCACTGATTTACATTCAACTAAAAAGAAAAAAATAGAAAAATATAGCCATATAATCGCATCTATAGATGTTCAGGAAACATTCATTTAAATTCAATATCTATTCTGAAAAAAAAACAAAAAACTATAACAAACTCTCCATAATACAAAACTTCCTTCACTAAATAAAGGAAATTTATGTAAAATGTATGGTTAAAGAGAATATTTTTACAGGTAGACTGTAGTAAGTCACAGATGCATATGTTAGACCCTAGTTAATCACTAAAAGAAGGTTAAAAAACAGTCTTTTCAACAAACAATACTGGACAGACTGCATCTTGACATGCAGATATAATGAACCTCAGCTCTTATCTCATTCTGGAGGACAGAAGCAGGCAAACTACTACTCAGGACAAAATATGACCTGTGCTTGCTTTCACATGGCCCACAGGCAAACAGTGATTGTTTTACACTTTTAAATTGTTGAAAACATTTTAAAAGTAATATTGCATGATCTATGAAAATTATACAAAATACCAATTTCAGTACCAATAAAGTTTTACTGGAAAAAGGCCACATTGATTCCTTTATATTGTGTGTTTGCTTTTGCACTATAATGAAAATTGAGTAGTCAGTAGACCAAGACTCCACGGTGCACGACACATAAAATATGAGCCTCCACAGATGGTTGCTGATCCTCACCTTAAACAAAAGTTAATATCAGGTGTTTCAAAGTCCTCAGTGATGTGAGAACTCGGGTCTAAAGCTTCTGGAAGAAAGTTTCTCTAGTTTTCTTCATGATCATGGGTAGACCAAAACTCCTAACAGAGGCAGAAAACGGGCTATCCCTCAGGATTACTTTATTCTTCACCAAAATCAAAATGATATTCTACAAAAGAGATCATTTAGTACATATCTGTGTATACTTAATACTTATGAGTTATTTACACACCTATATCTACATAAAATGGACAAATTATAGAGGTAATAAAAAGAATTCCTACACATCAATCATAAAGAAAAATATCAACTCAATCTTAAGAAAAACAAAGTTAAAGAGATTAGAACAGAATATTCAAAAGAAAGAAGACATGTAGGGAGGCAGTTTCTTGTTCCTGGGGCTGGTTGGCTTATGTCCCAGCTGCTTACAGGCTCACTGGGCATAGAAGTCGACTGTCACCCTCTAGGAACTGCCTGGGTTTGCCCAAGTTCCTTCCACTCCCAGAGAAATTGGCATCTAATGACTGGAGGGTTCTCCCTTCTTACAACATTAATTGGTAAGATTTAGAATTTATTCAATTTCTCAGAAGAATAAAGGAATTTGATTTATTCTCTCTCACTCCTAGATGACAGCAGGGACTATAGCAGGTTAATCTCAAATCTGTGAGTGCTCTGCTGGGTCCTGCAGTTCCTGAGGCTTCATGAAAAAGCCACAGCCTACTTAGCATCCCTACAGCTGCATCTGAAACACTGCACAGTGGCCACTAGAGGGCACTGGGGGTCCACTGACTGAGCTGCAGCCAGTGCTTCTGGGAGAGGGATGGCTCAGGGGTCTTGGCTGGGGGACTGCATTAGGGATAACACCTGATGAGCCAGGACAGGTGAATTGTGTTCTCCACACATCCCATGAAGTGCACGTGAATGACTCAGAGTACGGAACCATGAACTGCATCTTGGTAAATCAAGATTCTCTGGGAGCTCCTTTGACAGGGGATATGATTGGACTCCACGGGGGCAGCACACACCACAATTCAGGTGGAGAGAGAGAAGCCCCTGACTCCCAGGAAAGCTGGAGAGTGTGGGCATGGACTTCCACCCCACACCCTGGCCTGCCCTGATCAGCACAGCCAGCTGCCCCTGTCCCACAGAAGCTCCAAAGAATGGGGAAGGACTACATCAACTGAGCATGTCCAGGGGCTACAGGAGACCTGCTGAACCCACAGGCACACTGGCATCAGAAGAGCGACATCACTGATGTCACAGCAAATCCTCCAAACAGAGAAAAGGGAGGAGCCAAGTGCCTGCTCTCAGCCCAGGAGACCAGCACCCTGAGTGCAAAGATGCTTAGACCTGTCCTTCCTGACCCTGCCTGGGGACCCAGGCTCCTCTGCTGCATCACCCTTTGTCTCCTGGGAGCAGGTGAGTCCTGAGCACAGGGGACAGCCCCTGGAGCCACAGTCCTTTCTTGTTGCTTTGTATCAAACTCCTCCTTGGGTTAGGTGTTCACTCCTGTCTCCTTCCTCCCCAGGTTCAGTGGATGCTGAAGTCATCCTGTTCCCAAGACACCTAATCAGAGCAAAGGGAGGAAAGGGCACTCTGAAGTGCTATCCCATGTCTGGACATAATAGAGTGTTCTGGTACCAGCAGGCTCCTGGTCAGGGGCCTCAGTTCCTTGTTGAGTACTTTGAAAAGATGCAGAGAAACAAGGGAAACCTACCTGATCGATTCTCAGCTCAGCAGTTTGATGACTATCACTCTGAGCTGAACATGAGCTCCTTGGAGCTGGGGGACTCAGCCACGTATCTGTGTGCCAGCAGCTTGCACAGCCCTGCAGAGTCACTGGCTTTCTGTACCGTAACCTTCCTGTCCCAGCTGAGGGTGTTCTAGGCAGAGGAGCTGTGGGTTGCTACCCAGACTTATCAAACGCCCCCAAATGCTTCTAGCTCTTTGTTAACCTTCTGTCTGCCCTGCTGAGCTCAGTCAGAGTGCTCCTGGTCATTCAGGCCCAGACCTTGAATGTTCTTACCTCTAACCTGGCACCTTCCAATTCCTAGCAAGTGGCAGGAACCCTACTTGGTGGAGAGCGTGGGCATTCATGATGAATTTTGATGTAAGGATCAACACTTGTATCCATTTTATAGATGATCACCGTATATCACTTTATTTAGAGGAGGTTGCACGAAGCCCACAGACTCTCCCAGTATTTCACATTTACAAGTATCAATAGCAGAATGGAAACCTACATTTCCAAAATCAAAAGTTCTGCTGGAATCCATTATTGCTCCCTGGTCTTTGTCAAAATGTGTATGAGAGCAGAGTCTCTTCCATTCAAGACCAGCTGGGCAGCAGGGGGATGTCACATTATGGGATAGAGTTACATAGTTTATTGCCTTTCAACTTCGAAGACACATGCAATTAAGGGCATGTTTGTCTGTCATAGATCCAAGTCAAGTGTACCTTTCCAACAACAGAAAATGTGTGACTTGATAATTAATTACAAATTCAATGAAAAGACGATATTCCTGGGGGATGTAGATTTCCCCAAAGAAGTTTGAGTATTATTGATAAATCAGACTATATGTTGGAAATTGAAAGAAAAGTGACCACAACACTCGGAACAACCAAGAGATCTTTATTGCAGCAGTGCAACAAAGAAAAAAGAAAGAAGGAGAGAAGTGGGGGGGGCAGCTGGGGAAGGCTTTTACAGCCCTTCTGCTGTGCTGCCTAAATCTAACAGGGTCTCTGGGTTTGCAAGCTGCCTTGTTGGCACACAAGGGGGTTAAGGGCTCGGCCTTGAGTGGCAGGCTATGTGTTCAGCCTTGAGCAGGGGGGCGAAGTGCTCAGCCTTGAGCGGGGGCTTGGGCGTTTGGGATTGAAGCAAACAGGTGATAAAGAATCAGACAGAGGGTTTGAGCGGCCAGGTCACCCTACAGCCAACTTTGTTTGGCATGCCCTGCAGACAGCTTACTCAGCCTGTCCTGCACCTAACAGAAATGATCCTCAGAGCCAGGGAATTCCAAATGTCCTCTGTTGGTGGACCTTGGAACCAGCTGAGCTCTGACCACAGATAGGAGAGACCTTCCTAGGTTGGCCAGGTCTTACCACACCCTCTGCTGTGTATGCTGCTCTGACCTCCTCCTGATCTCTGTCTGATTTTGTGCATTTTCTCACTAGACATCTTGTAAAAAGTACCTATCAAGACTCCACTGAGGTGTGGAGACACCAAAAGAGGCCTCACAGTGAGTTATGGCCTGTGTGGGAAAGAACAGCACTCATTGCTATTGCATGGCCGCCAACATGATTCAATGAATCTTCTCCTATTTGGTGGATACAAGATCCTATGAACAAGGACAGAGCATTTCCCTGTGACAGTGGAGGCACGAGTCACGTGCTGATATCTCATCTGCAACACTAATGATCCATCTCTTGTTTTGATCGGGAGTATTGTCATAGCAATCTAGGTAGCCAGGAATCCTGGCCTCACCTGAAGCTGAGGGAGAATCCACATCTATAAAGACACACTGAGTCATGAGACTGCTTGGAAGGGATTTCTGACTTTTTGTGAGACTAGATTAAAATTTTTTTCAAGTAGAAATGACCTTGATCTTGCTGCTCTTAAACCTTTTGGGGTCAGATGACTCACATAGTCATGAAGAGCATTGCACACTGACATCCAATTCTGAGAATTTGGGCAAATAAAAGAACTAGTACAAGGAATCTGAAATGACTTTGGAGCAGCAAAGTTATAGAAGGCACTACGACTGCCATTAGTATATTCTTAAATTGAAGAAATATGGGGAAAAGTTAAAACAGTACACAAATAAGAAAGTGTATAGTTCAGGGAATAAAAAATGCCTAGATAAACAAATATCCTTCCTAAAATCAGAAAAAAAAAGAGTATCCACCCTAATAATTTAAAACAGACTACAAATTCTTTCCACTCAGAGCTGTTGAATTGTATATATATATATATATATATATATATATATATATATATATATACTCTAAATTATCATATTTCCTAATACTAATACTATATAAACATATATATGTAAATGAAAATTGACTTTTTCCATAGGCAAGAGGTGTGGAAGGTTGTTTGTACATCTCATGCATTTGTAGAAGAGCGTGTCATTACTCAGCCACTCGTGGTAAAAGTTCTATTTCCCCCAAACAGGGTTAGAAAACACAGAATTCCCCTTGGCCCGAAAATGGGCACCAAGCTCTTCCTCTGTGTGGCCTGCTGTCTCCTGTGGGCAGGTGAGTGCTGGCCATGGGGGCTTCCTTCTCGGGAATTCCAAGGCCTCAATCCAAGTCTTTCTCTTGAGGTGACATAAACTTGTGTCCTTCTCTACCACAGGACACATGGAGGCTGGAATCACCCAGAACCCAAGGCATATCATCACAGAGACAGGAGAAAAGGTGACTTTGCGCTGCCACCAGACCTACAACTATGACTATATGTACTGGTATCGCCAAGACCCAGGGCAAGGGCTGCAGCTGATCCATCACTCATATGGTGTGGACAACACTGCCAAAGGAGACGTGTCTGACGGGTACAGTGTCTCCAGATCAAACAAAACGGACTTCCCCCTCACTCTGGAGTCCACCACCCGCTCCCAGACATCTGTGTACTTCTGTGCCACCAGTGACTACACAGTGCTCCAGGGCCACCTCCTGGCTGCACATAAATAGGAAGACTGTGGCTGCCTGTGCTCAGGAGCCCTGGCCACCCCAGGAAGCAGAGCCCTTGCCAGCCTGGGGACCTCACAGCCTGGGCAACAGGCCCTCAGTGCTGAGGTCCTCCCCTGCCAGTCTCAGCCTGACCTCAGACCTCCCAGCCCCCTTAGCTTGCTGCTGCTCTCTTCAGCAGCCCTCTCTTTCTACCTGCAAAAGGAAAATGCATCTTAGTGGAGGTTCCTGTTGAAGGCCTTGCCAGTCTCAAGGCCACCACCTTCTCACCCCAGGGCTTCAGTGTCTTCCTCATCCTCCTATAGGCTCTTCTACTTCAGCCCTGAGTCTCCTCCCCCATGACCTCTGCTCCTGGCTGCCTCCATCCTGGGGGGAAGCCCTAGGGGTCTGTGTCATGTGCCTTCCTGTCTCTCCATCCTCCATGCACCTGTCCCCTGGCTGTCAGCTCCTGTCACACTCTCCTCTGTGAGTTATTTCCCCCATGAGGACTTGTCCTCACAGGGTGTTCCTTTGACCCTAAACATATGTCCCTCCTCTCATTCCTGGGACTACTTTATTCCTGCATGACAGTGTATTTCAGATACACTAATCCTTAATTGTGACATGCAAAATTTAAAATTTATTACAAAAGATGAAGGAAATAATTCTCTCATTTCCTTGAGGGAGAATTTTATTTTATTTGAGACACAAAAGAAAACATGCTATAAAAAACAATTTTGTAATCATGGCAGTTGTATTAAATTAAATCACACCTTTTAGGGGTCCAGAAGGGGACCTGTTCTCTTGTCTTTTCAGTCACTGGAGGCCACTAGCACGTTGGCTCATGGCCCCTTCCACCTTCAAAGCCAACAGTGACACTTGTGCCTTCCCTTGGGCTGTGTTACTCTGGCTCTTCTTCCTTTTCCTTCCACATCTTAAGGCCCTTCTGATTACAGCAGCCTGGGGGGACATTCCAGGGTACTCTCCTTGTTATCTGTGTCCCCAATGAGCCACCCTAACTCCATTAGAAAATTTCAGTCCCCCTGGCCATGCAGTGTAACACATTCCCAGGCTCCAGGGACTAGTCACACCTATCTGCAGAGGAACATAATTTGGCCTGCCACATGTAGGCACCTGGAAATAGAAGGAACAAACAATGCTGCTGGTTAGAAAGCAGTGAGGAGCACAGTCTTACACTCTAGGTTCAAGACACCCTGCATGAGGACAATGCCTTCAAGGGAAGCAGGCACATCAGATGCCTCCAGCCTGCCTGTAACTGTGGGTTATCTAAAGTTGTCAGGTTCTCTCAGGTGCAGGGGACTCAGAAGGCTGTCTGGGTGTCCACAGCACATGTGGACTTCTGTTCCTTCTTTGTAAGCAGATAACGTAATTGACCACCCTAAGAAACAGAGCATGCTTCAGCTTCCCATAACGCCAACCTGAGAGGAGGTGTGCTGAGAACAGGTCCTTTCAATAGGGAAGAGGCAGGTGTTCATGACATCAGTGCAGTCCCCGTAGATTCACAGTGAGTTGACCTCTTCCTGGGGAGCCACAGGTCAGCTTGTACCTAAGAGAGGGTGATTTGTTTGTGATTGTGTGACTCGGGCCTTGTGCCATCAGTGAGAGCAATACCAGAGTTCAGGAGAAGCTGGTTGCAATGAGATAGGGGATTCGTGTTTCAGTGCTTGGAGTCTGAGGTGCAGATGGAAGGAATGGGCAGGCTCTGAGGTGAGGGGATCTGGAGAGGAGTCATTGAGAGATGATAATGTCAAACAAGTTGCAGAGGGCCTAACGTGTAGATCTGTATCTCAGGTCTTTTAAAACTGAATCCAGTCCTGACAAGTTCATCACCCAGCTGTACAGCCTCCTCTGGAAGGAGCTTTCAAGGTGGGGCAGGTGCCTCACTTGATGATGTCACTGACAGATGTACCTTGTGAGAATAAAATGTCCCACAATTACTTTCTTCTTCCTGCTCAGAAAGGCCCTCCAGGTCTTCCACATCTGCTCTCATGGTGAAAATGACTTTCTCATGAGTTCTATTATATTTACATACATTTGGAGACCAGGAATTCCCTTGAACTCTGCTTTGCTTCTGTTTAAGTGCACAACTCCCCCGCTTGGAATCTTTCAAGATACAGTGACCTCATCAAAATTAACAACAATTGTCCTGTGAAAGACCGTTAGGAGGATGAAAACAGAAGCTACAGCAATACAGAAAACATTCACAAACCACCTGTTCAACAAAACGCTGGCATCTAGATCACTAAACCAAGACTCACAGAACTGTCCATCTAATCCATGCACAGGAGGAGTAATACATTGTGACATTTTATACCAGTGAGTTCTAGGGTGTGGGGGCTTCACAGTGTTATTGGCAGTTCCTGATTGGCATCAAATCTGGTAAACTATTTCTGGTGTGTCTGAGTGATTCCCAAGTGTGGCCACTAGCTTTTACAGAGACTGATATTCCAACCTGGTCATTCTTAAACACTTAACTACAAATTCCCAAAAAGTCTAATTGCCTTACATGTAAAATAGTTAAGTTTCTTTGATCTTCACAGCAGATAATTCTAATTATGCATTCATAATATGCAATAGTAGTATTTGTGGTCAGTAGCAGGCCTATTAACATTTCCACTTGTTCAAATAAAATGCAGAATATGTACTTGGTGGGATGCAGCTGCAGGCTTCTGGGTCCCCCACAATGCACATGTTGTCTGCTATTTGCTCAGATCCTAGGTAAGTGCAACCTCCCTGTTCACTGGTAGAAGATTACAAAAAAATACAGGGTCAATACTGATACAAGTCTTTCAGATGGTGAGGAGATACTCATTGAAAAGTCTCCTCAAGTGGATTGTCATGGTAGAATTATTATTTTTAGGATTGTCCAAGATGTCAAAGAGAGTAAACCATCAACAACCATGAGCTCTCAGACAGAAATATTACAGTTTGTGATAGGAAATGACAGTAAGCACAACCACAAGGCAATTTCTGTTTTAGACAAAAAGTAAAGAAAAGGACACTGAAGATGATAGAAATTAGGTATACACAAAAATCCAAAATCAATCATTTCAATGACTGCAAAAGCTTAGAGCATACTCCAAAGAATGCCTGTGCTTCCCAGCATGTGACACATGGAATTAAATTTAAATCTGCTAAGAGGATAGATAAGACTGGACAGTGTTTGCAGGTTAAGCTTCTGTTTTGCCCACAGGACAGGAAAAAAGGGAAGAATATTTGTGAAAGAAAGCCTTATGGAGTTAATTATATTTTGAGCATTTCACTAGGTGTTAAAAGCATTCAGTCAGTGCCCCGTCTTGCAGCAAAGGAAATTGAAGCAGAATGTGCATAATTGTCCCACTGTCGCTTAGCTAATAAAGGAAAGGGGATTTAATAACACGAAACGTAGGAATAAATTTATAAAAGCCTTTACAAAACATTTCAAGAAATAAAAATAAAAACATGGATTAACTACATAGGAGATTTCTGCAGAAGCAGTACTAGCATCTTAGTGTTCCCAGGTGACAGGAGAAGGGGGATCCCAAGTTCAGGAAAGACAGACTTTAAAGGGGAAAAGAATTACAGCCAGGGCAAGCTGCTCTCAAAGGGGGTGGTAGGAAACAGGAGGACTGAGTATAGTTATTGCCACGGTAGATAAGATGACTGGGCCTCAGAAAAATGCACCAGGAAAAACCTTCAGGATCTCACAGACACCCTGGAGGAACCCCCCCAAAGGAACAGAGATTTGGGGTGTGTGATGAATGTCTCTGAAAATCACTTGTCTATGAAGGTCACATACATCTGGAACAGTTGCAAAAGAGGGTGCTTGGGGAGATCAATGACAAAACTCACACCATCATATGATCTTCAGAGATCATCTGAGCCTCAAGGAGCTGCCTAATTACTTGCTAAACTATGATTCTTAGGAAGGTCAAATGCACAATGAGACACATGAAAGAAAAAGCAGGAAGAACAAAAAGAGGGAACCTTAGAAGTGGGCCTACAGGACAGGGGAGAGTGAAGGCACACAGTGTTTGTTGTAATAGTGCTTGTTTAAGAAGACCCAGACATCGCTAATTTCACATCTCAGCTAATATCACAGAGTTCAAGTCTACAGAATATATTAGGAAGCTAATGGTGTGGATCAGAAAGAAAACATAAAATCAAAGAAGCTGTTCAATGCCTCTGAAGATTGCTAACACTATTTTTCTGAGAAGGAACAAAGAAATTTTAAAAACATTTTAAAAATTAAGAAATTCATTCAGCTCAATGTTTTTTATAGTAGAGGGAGAGATGATTAATGTGTATCATTCTAGTAGAAATTTTAAAAAGAACTGCAATGCAAACAAACACTGTTCCATGCCTGGAACACATGAGATTTGAGAAGAGATAGAGTGGAGGATTAGATTGGCCTCCCTTTAGTCTTTGAAAGGAATTTTGGGGAGAAGTGGTACATAGTCCAATTTGAGGCGGCTCTGGTGTTGGCATTTTATCATTGGTGATACAGTAGGAGTCCTTTAAGCTTGTCAAAGGATCTTTGTTTCATCAAAATCAGAAATATAGCAAGGCAGATTAGGGAAGAAAAGGTGACTAGAAAACTAATTCTGAGCCTTTCAGCCAGGGTGGCCTTGGAGTTACTTAATTGCCACACTGTCATGCACCATTTCACGTGTTCTGCGGCCAGAGCTGTATTCAGGGGAGCAGTGGTTGATTCTGAAGGAGACACCTCCAGGCGGTGGGAGCCACGCCGTCCTCACAGCCTGCCCCTCTCCTGGCCCACCCTGTAATGGATGAGTCCCAGGTGTGAGGGCCATGCAAGCCTTGAGCATCTTAGGGAAAATGATGGTTGCCTGGAGAGCTGCCCTGGATGGGAGGGGTGGGGATCCTCTGGAGCAGTGTTTCTTCCCCTCCCTCCTCTCTCTAGTGGGAAAACCCAGTGATCTGATTGTGATGTTGAAGGAAGGAACTGGGCATGCTCAGCTCAGGCCCTCTTTTACCACCTGTGAGGAAGATGCTTTCCAGTCTCCTGCACAGAATTACAGCACAACTAGCAGCAGACTCTTCATTCAGGAGGAGAGTTGGCCACTCTAGAACAGGAGGATCAAGGTTGACATGCTCAATTCAGAGGGACACTGGCCAGCCACAACTGCATAGGTGAGCCCCTCCCAGCACCAAGGCAGATGTTTGGACTTTAGTTTCTCTGAGCTCAACATTCCTCTCTCAAGTGTTTTTGATGTTGGACCAGAAAGAATGGTGGTGCTCTTGGACCTAAAACACCAATGACTCTACCCTCATTCCTCTGAACCAGGGGAACACAGCATCATTCATCCATGATCATGGCAAAGGGCTACTCTAGGGAGCCTGCCCGTTGGCCACTATGGGACACTGTGGCTCTTCCATCACTCAGTGACTTCAGAGGAGCAGAGAAGTGTCTGGCAGGGGGAGTTAATGGAAGGCTCAGGCCTGGTTTCTGCACCACAAACCATACTTGTGGCTTCTAGGCAAACACCAGAAAAAGAAACGTGGGACTCAAAAGCCTTGTATTCTTGTGCAAATTAAT